GAAACCCAATGAACAGTTCTTCTCAGTCCTAAAGGGTCACAATGAGTCAGAATCGACTTGATGGTAGTGGGTTTGGTTTTTTGGCTTAGTTAGGAGCTGAGCTTGGTAAGGATTTGACTGTTGCTACAGTTAATTTCAGTGTACGACAGATTTCAAATTCCGCTACTGGTACATTACTACTGCCTTGTACTTAGACTAAGAATGGGGAGCCAAAGGGTTGCTCTCAATTTTCCTGTTTTTCTCTCAGCTTTTATCTACTCCTGCATACTGACACCAAAAAGGGATCCTCTCTATGGTGTTGCCCTTCCTCTAGCAGCAGACAGCTTTTATTACAGTGTTAGATTCATTGTTGGAACAGGTGAGATTCTCTGTTATCCTAGTCTAGTTTCAAGTCCTAGCTAGGCCCTGTGCCTCTCTTTTCTACAGCAGCCAAAATCTGCTTTGTATTTGTATTTGGTTTTGTTTGGGGGTTTCCTATTCCTCCCCAGTTGTAAAAGACTTCTTGGTACTGGTATGTGATCCTGGGGCCCAAAATGGTTTTTGTACATATTTTAGAATTAAAGCATCTTTCTCTTCTATCCTTTGTCTACCAGCAATAGGTCTTTGTCTGTACTCTGCAGGACAGAGAATTCTTCCTCCTAGAGGCAGAGTTGTTTTGCTTTTAATCCTCCTCCAGCAGCTTTTGAATTAAGAAGGTTACTGTTCTTCCTCCAGTAGTTTAAAGTATAAGGGACAGAAAGGCCTGAGTAAATGGAAGGAGTTTTATGTCTGTCTTTAAGGAGCCATAGATCACTTCTTCTACCTCTAAATCACTGAGGTAGGCTTTCTCTAGTCTCTTGCCTTGCCTCCAATCTTAAGTGCATGCATCCAATGGAGGCCCATGGAAAAGCACTTGTAAGCAAGTTTGAACTCTCTCTGTATCTGGGGTCCCCAGCTATTCTAACCTAAGCTACTAGTCTATACTCAGGCTAACAGTTAAAATTTTAATTTATTTCTTCTTATCTACTTTCTTTCTTTCATGTCCTGCCAAAGGTGAAACAAGTCATATGACTATACTTATTTCCTTGGGGAGACAGGGGGAAGGCATTTAGGTTTCTTGGTTGCCTTGCAAACTCAGCTCTCTGATGAGGTCAAAAGAAGCTATACTTTTATAGATTATCCAGGTTCTTCTTGTGAAGTGGGACAGTATATGCAAGCTCTTTATCTCCTGAATAGAAGTAGATGTCCCCTTCTACTTCAATTCACTTTCCTTTCCCAGATTTGTAAAGGCATCACCATTCTTCCAGTCATTCAGATGAAACCTTGGAAATATCTCTGACTTCTTTATAATGTCTAATATCCAATCAATTGATAAAGTCTGAATCAAATGAGCCATCTATCTCTCTTTAATAAGACCTTTCATTTCTCTAATACAAGTACTTTTCATCTCACAATGGTCTGTTATAACGCCATTGCTTCAACCAGTCTACATTCAGTCTTCTTCTAATTAACCTGACTCTACCATCACACTGCCTATACAAGAGTGCTCTGAGTGCTCGTAATTAAGGCTAATTTCAGTATGGTCCTATTCTGCCTCTACCAGCCACCTTCCTACAGAAACTGGTACTCTAACCATTCTGACTACATTTCCAGACTGGTCCAGATACTCTTTTGAACACCAGGAAATCCTATTATTCAAGGCCTATTATGAAAGATATTTTCCATGAAAAACCTTCTCTGGTAACAGTGACAAAATTCTTCTCTTTGGAATTTTATGCTGCTTTATTTGTATCAGGGAGCTCTGGTGGCATAGTGCTTAAGGCATGTGACTGCTAACCACAAGGTTCAAACCCACCAGCCACTCCTGGGAAAGAAGACTGGGCAACTTACTTCCGTAGAGATATCATCTCGAAAACTCAGGGAGGGGTCGCCATGAGTCAAATCGACTCGACAGCAGTAATTTTTTTTGGGGGGGGGGGTTATTTGTACCATACAAATAGCATATGTTATAGACTAGTATTAAAGCTATGTACATTTCTTACTTTCCTTATTCCATCTGTAAACTCCTGGAAGGCATAGCCAGTTCTTGTATTTCTGGTTATATTTCCTTGTTTAGCTTTCCCATATAATATTTAGCTTACAGATTAAAATAAAAAGAAAAATAGAAAGCAAAATTAGTAATATGACAGTTATACTTTCCTTCTCAAGATCCACCCATTCTTAATGCATTCCTGACAAGGCCTTAAAAAATTCAACCCATAAAAATTGCCTCAAAAAGAAAGAAGCACGCACACACATGCACACACATACAATAACCATGATTATTATCTCATAAAAGCATTTTCAAAGGAAAGTCCAATTAGGATTAGTTTAGGGATCTCCTAATAAAGCCAACAATTTATAATGTTTGAGTTAGATTTAAAATTCCAAACACAAATACACTGAAGTGCATTTGCTTAGTTCCATGTAAATATATCCCAAGACAGTTACAATGTTTACTAAGGAAAATGACTGCCAATAGGAAAAAGAAATAAGCCTATCTACCTCAATGACTTGGTTAGTGTCTTAACTGGTACTCACATTCAGGCATTCTGCCAAAGTAGAACAGATGTCATGCTTCTAAATCATTTCCAATATGCAGGTAAGGGCGTAACACAGACTAACATATGAAGAAAAAAGTACTCTTAATATTTTGTGCCTTTTTATAATAGTACTCTCAAGTACATTTTTAACAGCATATAAAATCTTATTTGCTATTTATTTTAGTGAAAAGTCACAGGAGGTGTTGTCTTTGCCTATTAGTTTCCCTGGACAGGTTACATAACTATCAGAAAAATTCTTCGTGGATCCACACTGGTATCTGACCTTATATGACACGGATACCAGATCCAACATCTAAAGTGGCATCTTTTTCATGCATTCATGAGAAACTAGACAAAATGATAATTGCCTTACCTGCTAAAACGAAAAACTAATGCACCCATCAAGTGCTCTTATCAATTCACCACAGAACTGTTAATATAACACTCAACTTTTGGTAATTTGGGAGCTCTGGTGGCGTAGTGCCTAAGGCATCTGAATGCTAACCAGAAGGCAGGCAGTTCAAACCCACTAGCCATTCCTTGGAAGGAAGATTGGGCAAATCTACTTTTGTAGAGATACCACCTTGGAAACTCAAGGAGGGGTTGTTATGAGTTGGAAATTTAGTATGAGAAAGTAATCATATGAAGTTCAATACAGCATCATGCATAAAAGTTAAAAAGAGAGACAACGATGTTAGTCAATAATGTTGTTGTTGTTGTTGTTACGTGCCGTCGAGTCAAACCTGACTCACAGCGACCCCTCCTTGGGTTTCCGAGGCAGTATCACTACGGAAGTAAGATTGCCCAACCTTCCTTCCGAGGAGTGGCTGGTGGGTTTGATCCGCTAGCCGTCTTAGCCACTATGCTACCAGAGCTCCTTAGTCAATAATAATCAATCATATAAAGAAAGGTACACAGACACTATTTAACAATGAAAAAGCTGATGCAGATCTGTATTTCCTGACATGGAAAGATGTGCACAGCATGCTACTGCACGAAAAAAAGCAAGTTATAAAATTTGATGTGTGTTCATATGCAATTTCCTCAGGTGGTAGGATCTGGGGTATGTGCCAGTTATCAATTTACTGCCTCTCAGCTAAAAATGCAAATTTCACTGCCTGTTCTGCAAAAAGGAAGCTGTGCCCTTTGAGTATTTTTCCTTTGTCAGATGGCACAAGTTAAGCTTTTATCAGTAGAGGGCGCTAGAGACACACTGTAGGAGGAAAGGGGTTTTCCTTGCTTGTTCCAGTGTTCTCCCATGGCAGGTTCCAGGTCTGGGTAGCTTCCCTCAGGGCAGCTTCCCTCAATACTCAGCACCCCTCGGTTGGCAGCAGAATACTTCCAGTTAGATATACCCTGCAAAAAGTTTTCCCTAGCACTCTAGAGAGAAGACTTTGAACACATTTCACCAGCATAGCACTACAGCAACTTCTTCACCATCCAGTAAACCATAGCTAAGCCCTCTCAAATAAGATGTGGATCTCAGCCCTCAGGGCAGGGGAAGGAGGGCTCTTCCTTGGGCATTATACCTTAGACTTAGGTTTCACAGCTGCTCCTTATATCTGTCATTCTTACATCGGTAGTCCCCAGCTTATGATGCATTCAAGTTACGATGAACCCCTCTTACAACCGTCCACTGGCTTTTGCTTGTGTTATCATTAGCAACGTGTACTACATGTAATGTAACAGCACATAATTTGCTGATATTACCATTCTCAGACATAATGTTTCCAAACCCCAAAGACAAATAAAGATCAGATGTATAAAGATAATAAAAGGTAATGATAATGAAAACAAAACAAAACAAAAAAGAAGCATTCAACTTACGTCAGAATGGAACTCAGTCTTAAGTTGAGGACTACCTGTATTCCTTACAGTCCTCTTTATTTCTTACTAGCCAACCTATTGTTACTCCAACCCCCTCTAACAGTTAATAATTCTTTATATTAAATTTTCTGTGTTCAAATTACTATGGGATTTTTCTGATTGGACCCAGATTCAGGGTTTTTTTTCCCCCCTTTATTCTTTTCAATGTTGTCTGAATTTTTCATAATAAGTATTGTTTTTTGGATACTAATCAGAAAAACAAGGTTAATTTTATTTTGCAAAAACTGAAGGAAAAAACATTACTTTAAGAAGTTGTTTTTAATAGGGCAGAAATATATTTGTGAGATTACAATGATTAAAACCTGAAAGACATTCATGTAAGAGTATAATTGTCCATTTTTCTTAATACCAATTTCTTTTCAATATAATCTAAAATTGTGTTTCTTGATAATTTTAAACTATAGAGATGACTCATTCTACTATTCCTTTTACTCTCAGTTATGCCATACATTGGCCTTTACCAAGGGTATTGATTATGAGGCCTCCTGAGTGACAGATGACTAGTTCCTCAAACACAGTCAGCCCTCCTTCATCTATTTGAGGCCCCCTTACCATGTTCAAGGATTATCAGTTGGGCTCCAGCTTGTGCATTTCCAACATCATTCTCAGCAATGCATTGATAGAATCCTTCATCTGATTTCACCAGACCCAAAACTTGAAGGTTGTGTTCCTTCTGAGAAAGATGAACATAAAATATTATGATTCAACTGATATTCAAAATTCTTATTGTATAATACTATATAGCTTTAAAATAAAAAAAATAGCATACAAAATACTGACAGAAGAGTAGAATTGTTGATATAACCATAACAGATTACTTTTTAGTTAATGCTAAATACTGATGAACTACTTTTTGTAATTTATGTGATTATACATTTTAAAAATAGAAAATACATTCCTACTAAGAATGAATTACTTACATGGCAAACTTGTAATGAGACATTAAGTCTTTAACAACCATAATTACTTCTGATCATTTCTATGAATGTCATGCATGCATCTTAAGATACAGCGTTAATCCTTATTACTAAAACCTAGATAATTCTATTACTAGGTTGTTAGATGACACTGATAAGGTGATACTAGTTAACCATTTACTAGATAAAAAGTAGAAAACAATTATGGAAGAGTACTCTTAAATATACTTAACATTATTTACATTTTGCATTTACTTTTTAAAAAAATCTTTATAATCTATATTGTTATACCAAAGTCCAATACTTGGGAATACTTATTTAGAAGGGCCTGGGTATCAGTATATGATTTTTGGTTAGGTTTTGGATGATATTTATTATTTTTTTTAAGTTTTTATTATCTCAGTTGCATTACTAACCTAATACATTTTCCCAAAGGTCCTATTTTACATGCTTCAAGAAACAGATTTTTGCTCCCTGAATAGAGAGCTGAAGGCCACAAATGGTCATTTATATAAACACGTAAAATCATTACCCAGAAAATGGCAGCAGCTGTATTTGTCTAAGGGTATCAATGTGTCTGAATAAGAGTACTAGACTGCTGGTCAGGAGATGTGGCCTTTAGGTCAGCCACTGATTTGCTATGTGATCTTACACAAGCTACTGAAATACTTCTGGGCTCAGTTTTCTAATCAGCTAATGAAGAGATTACAATCTAAGGGAATTTTTCTACCTTCATTAGCAATACATAATAAAATGGTGTATGTAAGATAATTGATCGCTTGGTGATTACATTTAAAGACATTTAAAGGCCTCAGAGAAAAGTGTCCTTTGAAAAATACTTACTACAATCTTAAAGTAATCACTTGGAATAACCATATCTCCATTCTTGACCCACTTCACAGATGGGGTTGGTTTCCCAGTCACTTCACATTCAAATATAATGTCCATAGATTCATGAGCGTATATATTACCAGGTTGCTTCAGGAATTCAGGTGGGGCTTTAAAATAGAAAAAAAAAATTAAGATATTAAAGAGAATAAAAACAGGTAGCTTCCATAATGATACTGCCTCGGAAACCCAAGGAGGGGTCGCTATGAGTCGGGTCCTAATCAACGGCACATAACAACAACAATAACAACATACATACATATTTGAACCAATTTTTTAAATAATAAAATTCACAGGATTTTTACTGATTCAGGTACAAAAAGTATCTTTAAAAATTGGTTTCCTGGTATAATTAACTGGAAGAACAATTACAAAGATAATCTTTGAATTTCCCTAGTTCCTTATATAGAAATAATTACTAAACTATGATGAAGAAATTGAAAATATGAATATGCTGAATTGTCTTAAAATGAATATTAAAAAATATTTTCTTCAGATTTATACCATTTAGGAAAAGCCATAATTAAAATTCAAAGAGTTAAGAAGACTAATCAGCTTGATGACAAAAAAAAAAATGTAATATAAATGTCACATTAGAGGCCTAAAATACTTCACTCATGCTACATACCCTCATCAGTAACATCCCTCTTTACATGAAATGGTTTTTAAGGGTGGGAGGAAAAGTGAGGGACACCTTTGGGGAAAGGGTAAGAATGTTTGAAAAAGCTTCTCTGAATATTTCAGTATTTCCCTTTCCCCCTGCCCCAGAATTATAAATCTCAGACATAAATAACAGATTAATAGGATTCTGAATTCAAAAGGCCAAAGAAGATCATCTAGTTCAACTTCCTACCTAATCATGTACTTTCCTATATAACACCCTTGAAAAGCAGTCTTCCTGACCCCTTTCTGAAATTTCAAAAGGAAGCAGCAAGCTCTACTGTAGGCTAGTCCTGTTAAATGACAACAGCTCTTTCTATTGCTAAGCCAAAACATGCCTACTCTGCTGGGACTTTAATTAAGATTGGTTTGAATTTAGAGCAATCTGACATCTTAACAATATTGAGACTTCCTTTCCATTTATTCAGATCTTTTCTTTCTCTCATCAATGTTTTATGTTTTTAATATACATAAAACCTTATTCATATTTTCTTAGTATTTCAAGTACTTATTTTTTTTAAATTCCCAACTGCTCATTTTTAGTATACAGAAATGAAATTCATTCATACAGAAATGAAATTCATTCATGCATATTGCTCTTACATTTTGTGGTCATGCTAAACTCATTCATTAGTTCTAGTCACTTTTGTGTAGACTCTCTAGGATTACCTACAAAGACAATCATGCTGTCTGTAAGTACAATCAGTTTTATTTCCTCCTTTCCAATCTACTTTCTCTTTTTTCACATTTTCTTGCCTCACTGTATTGGCTGGGGCAGGCCCTGGAAAGAACTCTAGCCTAGTTTCCTAACTTGGATAAATGAAGAATATAAGCACAGGTAACAGGTAGAACTCCAGGTAAACTGTAGAAAACAAGGAGGGTAAGAACATATAATCTTAAGATTCAATGTCCTCACAGTGATGGAGAATACAGAAAACATAAGTCTGTGCAAGATGAAATTACAGAAAAAATCATAATATTTTTATGTAACTAATGCATGCATACTTTTTCTTTGGCAAATCGCACAGCCCCCTTGCATATTAGCTTACAATGCATGTTATGTGTGTTATACGTGTGTGTATGTTATTTACACGAATGCATTATATAAGGAAATGCAGTATTCATAGTGAATCTGACAATGCTTTTAAACATGCATTAGCCACCTGTGTTCATTTTGTGAATTTTATATACAAATATTCTGCCCACTTTTTTTCAACAAGAGTCGTTCACAACTTTCTTAGCCATTTTTAAGAATTCTTCACATAATAAGTGTGCCAGTTGTGAAGGTACAGCCTTTCATTTCCAATGTGCACCACTGCAGGCTGGTGCAATGTTAGATTTTATCAACAGAGGACACCAGAGAGACACCGCAGAGCATAGTTTATCTTTCAGGTTGGGGTTTGCTCTTCTTGCGTGTATGGTGTGGCTGCCAGAGGGTATGCAGGGGGTGGGGGGAACACAGTGGTGCTCACCCTCCTGAAAGTTTCTCTACTCAGTTTCTAGTTAAGTTTCTCTAGTGTCTCAGCAGGTGGTTTTCTGCACGTTGGTTCCAACCCACAGTATCTCAGTGGACACCTCCTGTATACCAGCTCTGACTCAAGACCCCCTAGTGGAAAACTTCCTGCTCATCATGTGTTCAGGCCCATCACACTTCAGCAAGTGGCTTTCTGCACACCAGCTCAGGTCTGTGACATCCCAGTGATTTCTATCAGCTTTGGTCCACAGCTGCAGCCTTTGGCAGCGGTTATACTTTCTCCAACAAGGTCTGAATTTTAGCCTTGATATGAGGAGCCCTCTCACAAGTTTCTTTATTTCTCTCCTTCATTTCTAAAAATAGTAACTGATCCCTGCATTTGCTACTTCTGTTTTACTAGTTAAACACTTTTTACTGGTTGATAATTCTTTTTTTTTTTTTAATTAGGATTTGGGTGAAGATTTACAGAGTAAATTCACTTTTCATACAGCAGTTCACATATACTTTGTCTCA